CCTTGAGCTGAGGGACAGTGCCCAGACCCAGAGTTCAAGCCTCACGACTGACCAAAAAAAAAAAAAAAAAAGTCATAATGTTGTGCTACTTTAAACTGTTTGTATGGGACCCTTAGAGTACTACAGTCCAAAAACTTCCATGTCTTGTTCTCAGCCTTCAATGGAGCAGCTACTCTTAGCCAGTCTGAAGTCTGGGGATACCCAAACACAGACCCTGAATAATTAAGTGATGGTGTTGGTAACAACCTAACGATTGAAAGCATGACTCAAAGGTAGAGGGCCAGCCTACCAAATGCAGAGCCCTGAGTTCAAGCCTCAGTATCATCATTAGGGGTGGAAAAAAAGTAGACAAAACTATAGAACTAAAACTTCAGAAAAGTGATAGTTTCTTTATAAATACTGGCAACAATTCTGAATATGCTTATATAAAACACAAAATTTATATAAATTAAGAAAACTCTATAGCTCATGCCTGTAATTTTAGCTAGTCAGGAGGCTGAGATTTGCTGATCAACGTTCCAAGCCAGCCTTGACAGGAAAGTCCATGAGATTCTCATCTACTATTAGCTAACATAAGAAATGGAAGCAGAGGTGTGGTTCAAGAGTAATAAAAGGAACAGTGCACAGCCTCTGAATTCAAACCCCGCACACGCGCGCGCACGTGCACACGCACACGCACGCACACACACACACACAACACACACACACGCTCACACACTCATTCACTCCATAGACTAGAAACAATTTTGCAACTTCAAGTTTTCCAATTACCTGTAGAATCATCTGGGCTAGGATCAAAATTCAGCCACTCCACACTAAGAGGATATGCAGACAGGAGAATGTCATGGTGTACATAGAAAGAGTCTTCGTCTTGGTTATAAACTGTAATGATTGGTGAAAAAGAATTCATATTTAGAAATGGAAGAGCTAATCAAAACGTATTGTTAACAGTCTTCAAAGTTAATTAAAAACCAACCATGTAAAAGAAACTCCGGAGGCACTGGGTTTCGAGCCAACACTTCCTGAAGTGGGGACTGGGGCCCAAAAGAGAACTGGGCCTTCTGTGTTCAAGTATTATGAAGAAAAGGGGCTACTCTGCAAAGGGGAAGCATTTGAAATGACCGGAAAAGCAGGAAAAATCCTGTGTGTCCAGGACAATCTTAACCTTGGCAAACACGTTTACATAATAAAAAGCCGTTTAACTGTATATATCTAAGGGGTCTATTGCCATGGTAAAAAACAGACTAGTTGGGCATGGTGGCTCGAGCTTGTAATTCTCGCTAGCTGAGAGGTAAGAGATGGGGATAAGGTTCCAAGGCCAGCCATCGGGAAAAAAAGTTTGAAACATTCCATCTCAACTCATGTCTGGGCATGGTGGCACACGCCTATTACCCAGAGGTAACAAGTAAGCACAATGGCTGGACGTAGTTTGTCTTCCTCAGCCCATGTGAAGCATGAGTAGGAGGACTGAAGCCCAGGCTGGCCTGGGAATAAAGGGAGACCCAACTTTGAAAATAACCAGTGGAGGGCTGGGAAGGTGGCTCAGTGGTAGAGCGCTTGCCTTGCATGCATGAGGCCCTGGGTTCGATTCCTCAGCACCACATAAGCAAAAAGAAAAAAGCCGGAAGTGGCGCTGTGGCTCAAGAGGTAGAGCGCTAGCCTTGAGCTGAAGAGCTGAGGGACAGCGCCCAGGCCCAGAGTTCAGGTCCCATGACCGGACACCCCCACCCCCCCAAAAAAAGAACTTATCTTCTAGTTTAGTTAACATGTTTTCCATCCAAATCTTGAGCTGAATTAGGTTGACTGATGGCGAGGACAATAAAACCCGGAGTCAGGCTTTGGTACTCCACAAGCACTGAGCCTGGGACGACAAAGCAGCGCAACTGGATTCTCACCTGGGTCCTCGTCCTCGTCGTATTTGTCTAAGTCATACTCAGCCAGCTCATCGTCATCTAGCGTGCGGTCCTCCTCTGGGCCGCCATCCTCCGGGGGCTCCCTTGCTCGTGCCTGTGTGCGGGCACTTTGCATGCCATCTTCAGAAGGACTGCCCACCTCCTCCTCCTCACTGCCACCTTCTTCTCTGTGAGAGTGAAGGCAAAAATGTCACCCAAACAGTGCCGGCCAACCATAAGCCTGCTTAGTCACAATTATTTAAGATATGCAGTTTATCTGGACTCCACTCCAGACACCAATGTTCTTCAACTTACTGTAATTTTTCCTTTGCTTCAGCAATGAGACGCTTTACTTCATCTTTGCTTAGCTCTACCTACAAGAAAGCAAACATTTTATTATGCTGAACTGAAAGAAATCATTGGAAATCCCTGAATTAAAAACTCTTTGAACAAATATAAATTGTAACTTTATGAGACATCAGGATGAGAACCAAAGATTGACATAAGTTCTCTGAATTTAAAAAAATAGAGTTGTGTTTTTGTTTTTGTATTTTTTTTTTTTTAGTTTGTTTTGTTTGTGCTGGTCCTGGGGCTTGAACTCAGGGTCTGGGCACTGTTCCTAAGCTTTCATGCTCAAGGCTAGTGTTTTACAACTTGAATCAAAGCTCCAGTTCTAGGTTCTTACACTTAAGACCCCTTCCTGCTTAGATATGAGGCTCATTCTACTCTTTAGTTTTTAAAAACAAACAAACAACAAAACCCACACTGATTTGCAAAGGAGCTCTGTGCAGTCCATTTCGTCTTCTTTTTAAAAAAATGTTATCTAATGCACCTCCCCTGTTCTTCCTGGTGCGCATCCCTGAACAAACCACCTCTGCTGTTCCTCTGCTCCCTACAATCACTGCAGTATCCACTTAGTCTCAAAACAAACCTTGCTTCTTTAGATCGGATTACTCCCCAATTTTCCTTCTCTAGTCTTATATTTTTTTCATCTGCTTCTCACTTGGGTACCTTTTATCTTTTTTTTTGTCCGGTCGTGGGGCCTGAACTCTGGGCCTGGGCACTGTCCCTCAGCTCTTCAGCTCAAGGCTAATGCTCTACCACTTGAGCCACAGCACCACTTCTGGCTCTTTTTTTTCTTTTTGCTTATGTGGTGCTGAGGAATTGAACCCAGGGCCTCAGGCATGCAAGGCAAGCACTCTACCTCTGAGCCACCTTCCCAGCCCCCCTTTTATCTTAATAAGAGTTCAAGGGGCTTGGGAGGTGGCTCAGTGGTAGAGTGC